AAAAAAGCTTATATAATTATAGATATATATAATCTCAATAAAATTAATATATATAATATATACTCAATATTATCTCAAAAAGATATTCTCAAAATTATTCAAGATTATAAATATATTATAATAATAAATTACATCTCCTTTTTCTTTTAATAACAAATATATTTAATATTAAGAAAATATTTTATAATAATTATATATTTAAAACAACACACCTTTAATTATTTATTAATCAGATTTAGAAATTTCCTAATATATATACAACAATAAATAAATCTCATTTTTGAAAACCTTAAAGATTTTATTAGAGTATATATCAATAATATAGTAATTATAAGCAAGACTTTACTCAAACATCTTAACCATTTACACTGTCTCTTCTCCAGACTTGTAGAATATAACATTGCTATCAAGGGCTCTAAATGAAAAACTAATGATTTATAACTTTTATGTTTATCTAATATCAATATTCGATATTTGCTTTTTTTTCAATTCTTAATATCCTTATTGAAATGTTTTTATCATTTTAAATCATTTTCACTATTTGTTTATTCATTGAATATAGATTTAATAGCTTGTTTCATAGAAAGATTTGCTTCGATATATCAATTGAAGAGAGGCTTTTCTCCTTCATAAAAATTCAAGAGATGAGTTTGAGTGCCGAGTATCTAATTATTCCTCCTAATATCTTTCTTCCACTCCTGTATATTAACATGCATGAAGATGCTATTCTGGTATCTATCACGAGTATCTTTCTCGTCACCGGTTCCTATTTTACCAGCTCTCGCCTCCTTTGAAATCCTTCAATGACCTTAGATCTCGATTGCCATTTCGTAAATCGTGCTCACTCATGTCTTGGTCGAGCATCTAACAATGGCCTGTGAATCCATTCTTTCTAGTCCAACACTTCTACGCTCAAAATGCAGTGCCAATTCCACCAAAGTCCCGTCTCGTTTATCCCGCCCTCTTTTGAATATTATACTTGTGACCCATGCGCCGCTCGGAACAGTGAGAAGAGCTTTCTGACAATTGGACCCTGTACAGGACTACGCCGATACTCCAATTTCAAGAATGTCTGAGTAAATTCCCATCGTTGCTTCATCCCTCGCGCATGCAGGATTGAGCGCTCATTCGTAACATCTCCCAAACTCGATCGATGATTCGTAGAGCCCGAACACAATTGTGATTTCCATCCTCATTTTCACTTCGTCCCCATTACCAAAAATACACCACCTCATACCTTTTCCAACTCTGCCTTCAATCTTTTCACTTCCTCCTCCTTCTGCCTTAATTCATTCCTCAACTCCTCATTCTGCCTATCCACCGTCTTCTTCCCCTCCACCAACTTTTTAACTTCCGCCCTTTCGCCATCCTTACTAAATGGCTGTCCCGGCCTCTGCGTCATTGGTATAAAGACCGTTCTCTCCCCCACACTGCCCACCATTCCTCCCCTCATCGTCCTCGTCGCCTTCCCTTTCCCCCCATTATTTTTCTCCCTCGGTACGGGATTGGTCAAGACCTCATAAAATTGTTCATAAGGTTCATTGAAAACCATTTCATCATATACCCAAGACCGAACCTCATTATCTCGATTCTGGATAAATTGTAGTTGATCATCGCCATAGGGTTCGAGTACCAGTCGATGCCAGAAACTTTGAGCTTTTTCGTTGGCGATTGGATCGTAATAGATCTTAATTTGAATATCAAAACCACCCCAACCGGTCTCGGTTACTTGAAATGGATCGCCTGGTTTGACATTTTCGACTGCTAGAATCATGGAAAGATCAATTAGCACACGGTGGTAACGTAAACAAAAGAGTACCCTAGTTACGATCGAAAGAGACGGAGGCGCAAAGACTTGCGCAAGTTGACCAACACCGAAAGAAGAAAATACATACATCTCAGATGTTGCGGATAAGTATCGTGTAGTTTGAACTGTACTTTTCGACACCAATATGTAATATCCACATCATCAACTCCCTTTACAAATACCGTCCATTGATGTGTGTGTTCCTCGGGTGTTCCCTCTGGCTTTGGATATTTCGCACTGAATTTGTGAGATGTGGTACCATATACAAAGGGTCTATAGATTGAGACACCTTTTGTACGTTTTTGTGTATTCGGCGGCGCCATTCTTGTTGTGAAGAGATAGATGGGTAGGTCACTGTGGTGATGTTGATGTTGTTGTTGTTGTTGTTGTAGTTGTTAATGAGAGGCAGATTGGAAAATAATCAATAGAGATTCACAAGACGTGATTCGGGATTGAAAGTCTCTAGGTCGGTCGATGATTAAGGTTGAAGCTAATCTAGTGTATCCTTCGTTACATCCCAGGCTTTACTAGCCCTGGAACGTACTAGATCAATGATTCATTTATACTGACGTCTACAAGATGCGACGGGCTTTAAAAGATCCGATGAGTACCAGGGTGGAAAGAATATCAAAAGATCGAGAATGTAAATCATCAGAGGTTTCTCTTCTCATACCTTTCTTGAGTCTTCCAGAAGAAATTTAAATCGACGACGAATATTCAGAGATGTCAGTCACCAAGAGAATAGTAGTTTGTGGTGGGAATGGATTTTTGGGTTCAAGAATTTGTAAATCAGCCGTTGCAAGGGGATGGGATGTTACCAGTATTAGGTATGTTGAAGGCTCGAGTTCGGAGCTCTAATGCCCCTCCATCCTCTTCCATTATCACCAATCGCCTATACTCTAATACTGATATGACCTCCAATTCAGTCGATCCGGTGAACCAACTTGGTCTTCAGTATCATCTTCTTCCACACCACCCGCATGGTCTCACAAAGTAACTTGGGAACGCGCCGATATCCTCAAACCATCCACCTATGCTCCCCTCCTCAAATCTGCAGACTTTGTCGTTCATTCTATGGGGATCCTTCTTGAGGCAGACTACAAAGGTGTCATATCCGGTCGCGAATCCCCCATCTCCGGACTTTCTCGCGCATTTTCTTCATCCAAAGCGGGTTCCCAAAATCCCTTGACTCGTCAACCAGGCGAGGATTTACATTCCCAAGAGAGAGATGGCCAAATAACCTACGAACTTATGAATCGAGATTCTGCTATTACACTCGCTTCTGAATCTTACAAAGAAAATGTCCCCGCATTCGCATATATAAGTGCAGCAGGTGGAGCACCAGTTTTACCTCAAAGATATATCAATACAAAGCGTGCGGCCGAAAGTACAATTGCCAGCGAGTTCCCAAAGATGAGAAGTGTGTTTATTAGACCTGGTATGTTATATGATAGTTCGAGGAAGATCACTATGCCTTTGGCTGCGGCGACAGGTTTGGGTGCTGTGTTCAATGGGCTCACGGGAGGAATATTTGGGGGAATCATGGGAGCTGCGGGTGTTAAACCGCTCAAGGCTGATGTGGTTGCCGAAGCTGTTGTGGAGGCTTTGAGTGAGGAGAGTGTGAAGGGTCCTGTCGAGGTCAAGGAGATTGAGGAATTGGCCGAGAAAGCTTGGAGAAAGGGTATGTTATAAATGAATAACGATCGAAAATTGCCTATCACGGCTTTGTATTTGTATGTTAAACTATAGAGTGTCTGAACAACTCAGCATAATCTATACCCAATCCCTCAAATAATTATATAGCTGTGCCACGCTCAAAACTATCTCTAACTTCCGCAGTGTACTAGAAAGAAGATTAGCAAATGCAAAGGAAACGGGAGCGTTAAATTTGCTTACCTTGTTGTAGAACCTCGACAGCTTCTGGTTGAACTGCTTGTTCTTATCATTGATATAAGTAACATCCCCATCCTCTCCATTTGCCGCATTCCTCGCCCTTTGTTTCTTCAACCTTGCCTCTTCTGCCTGTTGCAAGTCCTTAACCAATCTATCAACGGCCGCCTTCTCTGGTTTGTGTTCTACAAATCCTGTTGAATCAGCCGTGCTATAGAAAGTTCCATCCTTATCGACAGCAACCAATTCTCCATCATCTGTCTCCACAATCTCAAGTCCTCCAGATGCAGCAGCTTTTTCTACAGCTGCCATCTTCTCCTTTTCATAGAAATCCATATCGGGCTTTAAATCGCGGATTTGTCGTTTATAGACTTTTCGACTGTCTTGTCGATAATCTTGGAATGCTTGATCATCTCGATGGGCCTCCTTTTTCTTAAGTCGTTTATCCCATCTCTCACTTTCTTCAATGGTCCAATCCCAAGCTCGTTTGCGCTCGAAATCTTCCCCAGCAGCTTCGGCGTCGGCTTTGAGAAGATTGTGAGATGCGACCGCGGATTTGCGATTCAAGGATGTGAGGAGATTGGGATCAGTTGCTAGACGTTGCGATTCGAGAGTTGCTTCTTTCAGATTTGTTTGAGCCGAAGATTTGGCACGGGCTTGAAGAGCTTTGAATCTTTCTTGTCGTTCTTTGGCTTTGGCAGCGGCATCTGAGGTGGAAGAGGATGCGGTTGATGGTGTGGGTTCGTTGGTCTTCTTAGGGATCGATTCTGATGGTGTCTCTGTTGATTCTTCTGCGTTGTTGACAGTATCGGGTGGTTGTACTTCCTCTGATGATTCAGCTGTCGCGCGGGTCTTTCTCTTCTTTGCTGGTGGCATGTTCAAAAGGGTTGTGATAAATTTGCGTTGTGAAGATTGTAAGTCGAGTTCTGAGGCTTTTGAATGTTCTTGGAATAATTGCAAGAACCCAATTCGATTTGCGTTTTCAATCTGGATGGATGTTTGCGGGTTGTGTAGAAATGATGGGATAAATTGTGGTTGTTGTAGTTGTTGTAGTTGGGAAAAGAGCCTAGAGGCGAACGCTACTGAAATGGCTCTTTTGCTGACTAATAGGATCTCGTCCTCTACTGCTAATGCTACCCCGGATTTACTTAGAGCTAAGGGAAGTGGAGCTCTCGCTGTTAATATTGTCCTAACCGTTAGCTTCACATCCGGAATAATCAGCTGTTATTTACTAATTTATTTCAGATCAAGACATTATTTTCAAAGATTTACACTCTTTCCATATTGTCTCGATATCACAATCATGAATTGCTATAAAGGCATATTGTCAATATATCGGCGCATTATCAAGTCCTCCAATGTCCCCGCAATCTCGAAATCTACTAGACGATTCAAGGGTTATAAAAGTGAAGAACCGCTGGTCCTCCCAAGAGTAGTAATCGACCTCGACGCTCCTGACAATCCCGCCGTCCGCGATTACGATGAAATAAAAGACAATGTCCTAACACCATTCCAACAACAAGTTGTCAGATCAACCGAGAAGGCCAAAGCCAAACGCGCAAAACTAGTTCGCAAACAGTTGGAACTGGGAGTTGAGGGATTCCCTCGCAAAGGTGGAAAAAAGAATCAGCGAATTAGAGATCAATCTCTAGAACATGAGTTAGCATACAATCCAGATGCTTCCCCGCCAACTGTCACGGCTATGGATCTGATGACTTATGCGCTCATGGGGAATCCATTCATGACGAAGGTTTCAAAGAGACCACCCCACGTGAGGGATGTACATATGGAGGGGTTATTCATTGCTCACAGTATTGATTTTAAGGACACAGCAAATATGACGATCAGGGCTTTGACGGAGGACTTTGATATCTCGACGGATGGACAAGGTGGAGAGAATGTGGATACAGAAGGGAATCGAGAAATTGTGAGAAAAAGAAAGGAAAGAAAGATGCTAGGAATGAGCGGGATAGGAATTGAGGGGCAGAAGGTTCAGACATAGTCTCGAGAGGATAACTGGGGATAGGAAGGGACTTGGGAGCGGAATTCAAATTTCGCAATCTACGCTATGGAAAATGTTGGAGAAGGAGCCAGACAACAGTCAGACAAGCTCTTAACAATTGAGGGCCAAAATAGTCTATAAGCTATAAAATCTCCGAACATAATTTCAATCATCCAAGAGTACTCACTCATAGACTGATCTTTTTATCTTTAGGTCCCCATAGAGCTCAGTAAGCATTCACAAATATCTCATTTCTCGAACTCGTATCTAATTATCAGCCTAGAATTTGTGCTTATCCTAAAAGTATTTAAGTACCTATCCTTGAATGGGATTATTAGGAGGATGAGTGCTCCAAACTTTACGCATTGATGCCATTTTGTAACATGATCTCCGCAACTCTATGTAAGCAGCGAGCGGAAATTCGCAATGCGGAAGACAGAGCTTCGGATTATGAGAAGGTCTTGAGCTCTGTTGGAAGATTGTCTCTGCGGCAATTTCGTGGAGACTTTTCACTCAAGTTGCCATGAAATGCTAGCTTTTTGCGGACACAATGATAGATTCTAGTCACAGAGTTATCACCACAGTACCAGCTCATCTACGAGACTTGGCAGTTTCTACAAATTGGGGCAGCCATACAAGAGGAATTAGTTTAGACTTCATTAGCAGCTTCTTAACGTACATAGTTACCTATTTTCACTCGGCTACTCATAACTTACTGCTCGATAATTACAACATTTCAACCTCAGCATCTTAGCCTTATTTCCCTTGTTATCATAAATGAAATCACCGTGATCCCTCCCAAAACCTCGCACTATCTCCTTTCACTCCGAGTATCTACTAGCAGCCATCATCACAAATCAGCATCGGATCCGAATTCCAGTATCTACAATAAGCTCCAGTCACACAGCCCCAACCCCAAGATCTCACATCAGCAGTCATTAGCTTCACATTAATCCCATACCCTCATATACTTTCACAGCCTCACCATACATGTATATCTATATACCATTTCCACAATCTCACAGCCTTACCTCTTTCATTCACGTGCCCACATATATCCTAGTGACCTGTATAGAAGGCAGAAGCTGATACTACATTAATTCTCGACTTCTCAGGGATCAAAAAACTAGGCAGCTTTTCAGCTGAAAAGTGGGCGTGTGATATATCACTATTTACTTCTTCCGGATACCTATGCAAGGAATGAGAATGCACATCAGTCAGACCAGAGAGGCGGGATTCGAAACAAAACTCGGTACGAAAGCTCCGTGCACTGGCAAGGCTTAGAGCGCCAATTTCCGTTGCATGTTTCGACACGGCATGTATAACGGCCCACGGGTTGTTCCTTGTTAGAGTGAAATTGAGGGTGAGATCTAGTTCTCGTTTATTATATGTGAGGCTCATGAAATTGAAGTTGGGAGGGATTACGTGGGGGTTATGTTCGGGAGGGGCACGGGTTAGACACCCTCTCGGAGATATATGTGCATGTATATATGTAAGTATGTATGTATATATGTATTATATAGCCATACTTTTAGAGATGGGTGGGCGAATGGAGCAGTGATGTTAGATGATTTTTGAAAGAATTGCTTTGAACAGATTTTTAGGGCGGCAAGATACAAGTCAGGCTTACAGTGAAGAATTGGAATGTATGTTTGATAAATGATATTTGCAGATATTGAAACAGATATAGACAATTTGATGTGAGAATATAGAGTATGAACAAGTGACTGCAGGAAATTGCTCGCTCGCAGAGACAGAGAAGAATATGAACAGAAGGAAAAGAAGAATTCGTAACGTCGTTATGGATATGAAAAATCAGATCCCTGCGGAAACAAACGCGTGGAAAGAGGAAATCTGAAACCGGCAGATGGAATTAGGGGTGTGTATTTCCCATTCGTGACGTCGGAATGAAAATGATTTGATGTTGATTCCATCGGAGAGAAGAAGAGTGTAGAAATTACTCGAGAAAATCGCATATTGTTTGTAGCTTCGTTAATCATGATAAGCGCAAGAAAGAACATATCAGTCACTCGAATTCAAATCCACATCCCAAAACATAAAAGGAAAGAACCCATGGAAGCAACAATAAAAAATCATGGAAGTGCATCATACCGAAGACGAGGGGTATCATTGATTCCCTGTCAGGTAGAAATGGCAGTGCGGGTAAACGAGCGAACCCCTAAACGTATGACAACCGTAAGTTGTCTATATTTATTAGTTAACTTAGTCATTCTTCCTGCGAAGATGAATTGGACTCACAGGTTACTGTTTGGCTATTGTTGGCCTCCACCTCTACCTGCTCCATATGTATCTGAGGAGTCGTGATCCCATCCTTGGTCTTCATTAGATGTGTATGGTAGGTATTGTGATGAAGGGTATTGCGATGGAGGATATTGCAATGGAAGATATTGTGTTGGTGGGTACTGTGTTGGTGGGTATTGTGCTGGTGGATATTGTGTTGGTGCAGGCTGCCCTGTAGTACTGTATCCTCCATATTGGTTGGAATTGCTGGGGTCGATATTGTACCCTGTCCCTCCATAATTTGGTGCTGATGAAGGCATAGTATCACCATAACCTAAGGTAGCAGGTTAGTTCGAAGCAATTTTAAAGCTAGGGACATTTGAAGAAGCAGCTGACATACTGTAGGACGAGGAACTATAAGCTGGGTTGCTCGGGTACGAGCTTGGTGTAAGTGCTTGAGTTGATCGACTCAACGGTGGATGAGCTTGATCATAACATTCTGTCACTGCTCGCCGGGAACCCGGATCGATCCTACCGATAAACCAAACCTTAACATTATACTCCACAGTATAAACCTTGTGATAGTTAATCCGTGATGCGGCTTCAAGTTTATGCTTGTTCGAGTCTGGTATCATCTTGACTGGACGATATTTCATCTTGCTCCCATCCTCATGTTTAACCAACATTGGCTCAGAAGTGGTAAAAATAATGGCATGCTCGTCAGCATGCACACCTGGCTTGTTCGTCGCCCTACCTTCGTAGGTCATAATTGGCCTGATTCCACAATCAGTAACATTACAAGGACGAGGAAATAAATGAAAACAAAAAGCTTACAAGCAAAGACAATGACCTTTCCTGGGGTCTACGACCACGAATCTCCGTACTTTTGCATGTATCTCTTCTCCAAGCTTTTTTCTAACTGACACCATGGTTCCTCCACGTGCATTGCCCGTCGGTTCAGACCAAAGAACTTTAAAGACCTGCCAGATTTAATTCCAAAGCTATGAACTGATGATATGATCTCAGACTCACCCTCCCAAAACCAAATTCACGAGCCACGTGTACTTTATAATCTACCAGGATTTAGTGGGTAGATACACCTTTGGTGATGAAGGTGCTCACTTGGATCAAAGTTCCTATGCTCAGTAGAAGTGTTGTTCGGCTTCAGTTTGGCTACAATAGGTGGATCCGCTTCAGCCACGGGAACCAAACTAGTAGAATCCAGCGAGTCAGTAAGTGCTCCGACATCTTTGTTGTCTGTTGTATAGTTTTGTTCAATCGAATATTGAGTTGTATCTTCGGATACTGTGTCCAGCTGTGAAGTATCGTCAAATCTGGGGACTAATGCATTGGCAGATGAGGTCGAAGTTGATTGGTCGTTCTCAAATCTCCATTCGGTTACACCCCTGGAATTGATGCGACAAGCTTCCCATCGCTTTCTGTCTCCACTCCATTCCCAAGTACTCCATGGAGTCGATGCAGACGAGGAACTGGATGAACCTCTTGATTCTCTTCTGTGTCTGTGAGATGAAGACGAAGAATATGACATGGCCGCAAAGCATTTATGATGGAATGTAAATTATCCAAACCCCAACATGCGAATCACTCCATAAGGGATCCTTCCTGCCTTTATGGACAGGAAAGCGGGCACGCATAAGTTGCGGCTCAAATGGTTACAAAAAGGTGCGGAATATATCTATTTGCTCGAGGTAACATCGTACGCTGTGACAAGAGCCATCTCTTCATTGCGGTACACGATTGGTGTGATTGTCGGAAATCAGTAGCTTTTTCGAAAGTGGTTGCATTTGGAGCGGGGTTATCGATTCGCTTAATTGGACACCACCAGCTTCGTTACACCCTTGCTACGAATTGAATTTGCCGCTTTAACAACCGACTTGAGTAAATGAAATGTGGGGGTTTTGAAATATTTCATGCACCATCGTACAATTCCTTCGTAGCATGGATTTGGCACATGCTTGTACAAGAAATGTATCACTATCAGCCTCAATTCCCTTCATTGGACAGATGGATAGATGCACAAGGAAGACTACTCTGAAATCTCGGGGCCTCCTGATTGTCTGTCTCTTTGCAACGTTTTCAATTTGGTCCTCTAATCTATCCTCCTTGACTTCAACTCAACAATTTCATAAGTGAGAGCAAGACAGGTCTTTGTCATCAAGAGCTTCAATAGGAACAATAATTAGTTTAAAGCAATACGGATGCGGGCAACAGCCAATGGTAACTGGGATATTGGTCGGTCATGCGGCATTCGACAAGAGCGAACAAGCATCCCAAACGCATTACAAGTGAAGGAGATCACTCGGAAACCTCCAAGAGCTCAGAATCCTGACAAGTTTAAATCGGTTGCTTCAGCATTTCACACCTCTTCTGCACACAGCTCCATGCCGTATAAGTCCAAAGGTGGCCGGAAAAGACAGAAGCCTGACATCACGGCCAAATCAACTACAAAGCAAAATTGTCAACATTCTTTTCACAATGAAAGATTAACGAGATTTCGCGAGCCCAAAGTTTTAGTGGTAGTGGAGCAAGAGGTCGACTGTGGAAGTATTTCAAATTCTAGCTCAACACCACGTGTTCTTAAATGTGACGAGCCACGAGAGAACCAGCATTCGATCGCAAACGATGGTTTTGCACTCACGAATTATCTGGCAAGTGACCTATGTAACGATCAAATTTCTCATGGAAAATCTAAACTCGTACATGGAGATCCACCTTTGACAGGTATTCCGTTTGAAGTTCACAGCACGCACGGCTTTGGACCTATGAGAAAAATCGACGAGGCAGCAAAGCAGCAGAGACAAGCTGTACTTGTCAAACATTCGCATTCCATCCCCATATCTCTGCCAAGCAAAAGTCAAGTTCAATCGCGTGAAGATTGTAGAAGGCATTCTGTCCAAAATCACGTGTGTCGGAAAATGTCATCCCTTAGATCAGGATCTTCCACTGTTTCCAGGCAAGCAACTAAGCAGTCTGTTTTGTGTGATGATTCAAGTCTTGATGAGTCGAATCAAACCCTCAGAAGACCCGTTGATATGAATGAGTCCGCGATAACGGCGGATTTACCTAATGCAGACGAACATTTGGAGGCATCACCTACGAATATTCAGTCTGTCTCTTCTGTATTTGGAGCTTCCATATTTTACGACCAGTGGCAACATATTTCTTGGATGAGAGCTCGTATAGCCTCGCTACGTTTCTCACTCCAAAACAAGCGCCAGGATCTACGTATGTTGCAAAGAGAAAAATCTCTTGCAGACGATGCATACTTCAAACAAGCTAAGATGAGAGAGCTTGATATGCCCTTTCCCCGTGAATGGTGGTCTGGAAAGACTACGGCAGAATTACTTTGCGAGTGTCAGAAAGCCAGAGATGAATATGGTTACTTAGAAGATGAATATAATTATCTTGAGCGTGATCTAGATTCACAAGAGTATGAACTTTCACGACATGAGGAGCATTTTTACGGTCAGCTGAGGGACCCCTCACGTTTACTTCCCACGTCAATGCAGCACGTCAAATCTCCAGGGTGGCTCAATAGGCCAGAACACCACGAACCACAAAAGACGCAAGAATTACATCCATTGGTGGAAGCATATTTCTCGAAGCTCGGTGATCTTGAAAACTCCCGGGAGCTTTATGACGACATTTTGGATGAGAAGTTGAGCCTCGAAGAGAAGGTAGATCTGAGAAACCGGTTCGACATGGAACCTCTTACTTCCGAAAATCAGGAGTGGCTGAATAGCTCCCAAGCCCAGTTAGACAGCTTGATCTCCAAAATCAAGATTATCGAGGAAGAGGAAAACGAATTACGGCAGAAGTGCTTGTCATTGGGCCTCATAGATGAGGCTGGAGAGCCGATAGCATCAACAAGAATGGACCAATCTGGTTCATCTCTGGATGCAGCTCTCGCGCCACTTGAGAGCCGCAACCAATATTCTGAAATGCCTTCATCATTTCCTCCAGAATTGAGCGACTCGGAAAGTGTGATAAAAGCATTGGATTCCGAGAACAATCACCTGTCACCAAATGAGCGATTCGATCGATGGTCATTAGAAAAACTTCGAATTTCTCTTCATGAGGTCAATATCTACACACATTGCTTTAGAAACTACGATGAATCACAAGATCTGTGTAAAATCAAAGAGGAAATCTGCGAAGATGATTTCGGAATTGCCTGGTTTGCAGATGGCTTTACGGATCGTGATACAAGATCTACTGTCTTGACGGCTACCAATTCGACCTCCCAATAAATTCTCTGCACTAACTCAACTCTCAGCAGAATTTCCCATCCAAGTTCTTATTTCTTATGGTTCAGCTCACAGTGGCACTGAAAAATTGGATAACGTCGAGGGGGATCTCATGACATGTGCTGTACCCTTTTCGAAGATTATTGCTACTGTGATCTCTGAATCATTTCATTTCAACTTGAAGTTCAGGCTGGCACTTTCGACAAGCATCGTTTCCTTTTCTCTTTTTGTTCTTTTCACAAATATTTGCATCAATCAAAGCAGGATTCAAGCGGGAGTCGGGATACACGGAGCTGGGGCCTCAGGGAGTTAGCGTTCCTTTGGAGAGAATTTCTTGTTGCTTGTTTGCGTAATAATTGTTCCTCTACATGCTTCTTCTAAATTATCAATCGCTCTTTTAACTGATCGCCTTTTCACCTGCTTAATTGCACAGTCAATGATACCTGATTTTCAGTTAGCGAAGGGAGAAATATACTTCCACTTTTTGTTACAGTCTTATATGCGTGTACTATATCGGTTGGTAGGAATAATAGTAACCTTGCAATTTACATCAGGCTACATGGAATTGCGATATTGGTATCATAATTGTACCCCCATCCTGTAAGCGAGCCAACTAATTCAGTATCAGATGGAAATTAGAGACGGGTAAATAAGCATCAGCACGGCTAATCACAGATATGTTTGCACTAGCCAGCCCTGTCAGACTATCATTGAAGAAAGATTCCGGTAATACCACATTGAATGAAACCTCAGCCTATGGACTTCCCCATCTATGAAGCACTACATGTACCCGTAATTGCTGACATCTAACACTAGTCCCCCACTGACCCGGGCCGTTCCATAGTTTTGTCCCACAAGTCATGACTTTCTTCTTATCCCAATCAAACATTCGAATGTTACAAAAATCTAGCGCAGGGATATTTAGGCACAGCTTATCAAAACAAAGTAATGTTAAGCCATTGAATATTACCCAGTCAATCATATCATCAATCACTTCTCTCAAAACCTCTCACAAATCGTGCAAAGTCTCAAATCAAATCTCAAATAGACATTAAGACCTTCCTTATTCCAGCGGGATCATATCAAACGACGCTCTAAATCGCTACTTTAAAATTCATTCAAGAAGACGCAAGCGCATCCAGTCGTAAGTTCAGATATGTGTAAGGCTGAGGCAAGGGAAGTGGCACAGGCGGTGAGAGCCCCTTTATTCAGACCGCTCTGATTGATGTAAATCTGGCGGATTTTGTGCATGAGACTGGAAGTTTTTTGAAAAATAAATGCATGACAATGCACTATTTAGATGCAGTAACTCAGAATTTGAATGCAGTCTTGCCCAAATTATGCGGATACTCATGTCTTTGGGCCTAATTGAATGTGGCGTGCACGTGGGATCAAGTGAATGGCTGGTATACTTGATTACCTAGGTAGTTGTTTGTTCTGGCTACGAGATTACATTAGATCTCCTTTTGGAAAAAGCAGCGGGTTAATTTGTGAGCTATAATGATCTGTATCGAATATTTTAGAGCAAACTCAACGAACATGGCTCGTTTGTGGAAGATCGTTGGCATTCCTTCACTCTGAGATAATGAAGCAATACTTTTTGATCTTGTTGGTCAATCGTTATGCGAAGAATATCACATTCGTATGTCATCAAATTGTAGAAGAATTTGTACTCTTGGAAATGTGCCACTTAGTGACAGTGGAGTCGAATCGCGCTCTGTTCTTATTACAACAGAGCCTAACACGTCAAAAAAAAATGGGTGTCATTAGTCATGAAAGATGTATCAAAACGAGTGAACAAACAACAGGGTCTTGCCCCGCTTCAGTAAAGAAGATTGTGTACTAGTACTTGGTGAAAGTTTCATATATGCCTCGTCTCTCGACCTCCAAAAAAATCAAATCTAGGGAGTTATCGGTAATATATGAACAGACGAGACAAGAGAAGATATTTAAGGTGGACACAGTTACAGAAGAGAGCTGTGCCGAACGTTGGGTACTAAAGAAAAGAGACAAAAAAGGGATTCGTGGCGCCAGAAAATATTCCTACAGCGCATGAAAAAACTTTCGAGTGTGGAGCAGCTTAACGTATCGAGTTGACTGTGAATAAGACTTTGTGTAAACCAATCGAAGATATCCCTACTTATGCTTATTAGAGTGGCGGTTCCGATGATTGCTGAAAGGATGACTGGATGTCCTTCTGGATGGAAGATTCGAACGAGGACGCTGTGATTCAACTGGCTGGACACCTTGAGACCAGCCCGACTGATAGAGAAAGGTACTAATAGAATTGCTGGCTACCATACCAATATTTAAAACACAGAAATAATGCTCTACGGTATATACCTTGCTGTAGTTTAATCGACTCAACGACTTCAATAAACCCTCGGGTTCATGGCTTCGTTCGCTATTGACCTGAATAGGATCTAAGACGATATTTTCGGATATTTTTTGACCGTCATCGGCTGAATAGCTGTACACTTCTGGAGCCTGTGGTGTTGTATGTATGATTGTATGTCGACGAGGAGCTGGAAGGTTGGGCTTGAGTGTCGCTTGCCCTGAGTATGTTTGTATAGGACTAGCATCATTAGACCAGCACATTAACATATTGTAAGAACATTGTTGGGCAGAACACACCAGCAAACAGAATTCCCATGACCCTTTATCAGTACCACAAACCTTCGAATCTCACTGTATGCTTGTTGCCCAAGAAACGTAGTGCTGAAGTGGGACCCATTGCGTGTCCCTCCGTTTGCAGGAACCTTTGGCTGTGCTGGCTCAGTCCACAATATCATGAACACGCGTCCCACCTTCCAAAAGTCGTCTTGTAGACGAAATCCACTATAGACCGTATACCCTATATCTGATTAATGTTGGCAGTTTCAAAACTTAAGGATGCAGACTTACTGGGATCCAAAGTTTCGGCATTGCCGGTGTTTGGGGCTTTGAAGATATGCTTTGCATTTACAATCGCCTGACTCACCCCAGGCTCAAATGCTCCTGTTGTTCTTGTCAGAAAAGGTCTGTAACGGAATGTAATTGGTAGTGATACCTGTAGGCGGAATATGCGGCGTTGCTAATGACATATCATCAAATGCACGTGCTGTGGCGTCAATCGATGGCGAAGCTACGTCTGTGTTTGATTGCCATGTAGCATTGCCCGAAGAAGGGTATTCGGATGACCAAGTCGGGCTCGGATGATCGGTAGAAGCTGTATCATAGTTTTGGACGCTGGAATCCGGAAATTTGTAGTAATCATGGACCGAGGCCGGAGAAGCGTACAATGGCTTTGGAGTTGCATCACGGCCAAGATTATTATAATTATCGGCTTGGGATGTCGTATAGGCATTGGGGTTTGTTGAAATTGACGGCGAAGAGTGTGTAGATTGTTCATCAGATGTAACACTCTGATCAGTCAACCCGGGTGTTCTGGGCGTAGCTGCTTGATTCTCGGATCTGTCAGGTTGTTGGTAACTGTACTCCTGAGCCCCCTCGGCATTTATTCGATACACATACCAAGAGCGGTGGTTGGGATCCCAGGTCCACTCACTCCAAGGGGTACTCTGATCGAATCCATCCCCTTGACTTGTATGATAAGCCATGGCCAGCAATTTCTTTGCTTATTCGTTGCTTCAGCATGTAAATGTCAATGCATTTGTCCGGAACAACGTGAAGCTTTATAACCCGACAAACCTGACTCCGCAATCTATTGAGAGCCGCATTTAGGATTCCATTAGCCAGGAGTTCTTCCGCTGTTGATAAATCGAAGCTCGGTGTAACGATTATCTCTATCTGTCATAATTGCGTATCGCTGCACCAATACCGATTCAGTGGTAATGTGGACGGCTATGTTATTGGAAGCTTATACGACGAATACCTACTGAACTGATTTTCTTCTTAATGGTTGCATTGTGGAATGTGGTGAGATCATTAGATCATTGGCTTTCCAAATGAGGTCAAGCATAGACCATGTTTCGCAACAAAAATGTACAGCGCTGCTTTTGACTTGGCAGGAATATGTACCTAGTTGCACCTCTATTGGTTTTAGTTAATGCAACTATATGTAGCTTTTTCATTGGGCTGATTGAAATTGGTAAGGAACAGAACCGCAGCTTCTCAAAACCGTTCAATGCCCTCTGTAACACAAGGTATAGCAATTGATCACACAGCTAGACGCCTAATAGCTCGATAATTCATTAATATCACAAAAGAGTCGCGAAGTGCTATTCAAACCAAATACTTGATACTTCATGAAGTGTTAGTGATAAGCTCGCCGAGGATTCATTATGAGGTCTTTTTGGGTAAAAAAACACTTCTTCCTGACCAACCAGTTTAGGAACCGTCTTCTGATGCATACTAACTTCTACTACAGGCGTCTATCTTTGGCAGACCCAAAAATACTGAAGACTCGAAAAGTGAAAGTCATCAGAATGAAAGAGCTGGTCTTTTCCCTCCAGGAACAATGGCTGAAGAAGTTGCAAATATTTCGAAAAATGGGGAGGAGTTCAATCGGGATCAGGGTGATGAACTCGACGAGCGTGGTAATGACGGCCAAAGTGAATCCCGAGCCGAAAAGTATAGATCTCGCTTGAATAATCTATTACAGGGAATGAATAAGTGGCAAGAAGTCTTATCGGCAGAATTGCAAGCTAGACAGAAGATGAGAGAGGTGGGGTTCAAACGATCGGCTGTCTCCCGAGCAGATGCTAGCTTCATGAAAGAAATTCAACGACTACAAGCAGAAGGACAACTTGAGGCTTTTAAACAACTGTCTAAGCTTGCAGATGCTTGCCAATCAGCACGTGATGGACTTGGCCCTCTAGAATATGAAGGTTTCGAAGCTCAAAAGAAGCTACAGGGAACTGTGTGGGAATTGCAACAAGTAGAAGATGCACTCTTCGAAAGTTTTGCATCCGAGCTTGGAGAAAGCTATGAAGAGTCTTCAGTCACTTCGGGTTCAAGCTCAGCACATGATATTCTTGAAATTCCTCCTCCAGCCATTGTAAAGAATCATGGGATTCGAAATCAACATGACGAAGACACTGGAGATCAGTTTTGCCCACCGACAAATATCATCACTGATATTGAGAGACAGCAAATTCTTTCTGAGACTCCGCTCTACATCACAGATCCCGTGAATAAACAGTCAGTTGTACACGATTTAAGAATGCTACTCAGCAATGAGGAAAATCAACCTGTTCCGGCAGTACGCTTCAGACACTCAGCGAAATCGGGGTCCAGCGTGAATGGATCGAGCGAAGGACCGCTTCCACTTGATCAAAATAGCATGGAGAAACTGAAAAATCCACTGTTGCTGGGACTGGACAATCAAGAGGGGCTTTTTCTCCAGGAGCCGCATTATGACCCTACGTTGTTATTAGATCCGGAAATTAGTGAACAGGTTAACGACGAAGGGCAACAACTTGAACCAACTTCCGGTTCAGATTCTGGAGCTTTCGACTTTGATATGCTCGAGGACAAGGATATGAGCACTTTCACTACAAAACAGCATTCAAGTACAGAATCGTTTCCCGAACTGCTGACGCAATTTGGTACCAAACGCGATCGAATCAACAAATGGTTACTACATAAGATGCTTATATCTAGATCAGAGGCGAGTCTTATTGGGCTACAGCTACAAACAGAGTCGGACTCATCGCCATCCCCTTGGGCGAAATTGATTGTTGCCTATTTTCAGTTTGATTACAATACATCAAAGCCTGCAAATAGCCAGGAAGGGAAGAACATGAGCACGATGGGAAAAATTTCAGAAATTCAGTAGTCCCCAAATTACGGGGAAGAAGATTCAACGATCACTTCTCATCCTACTCTACTTTCCAAGACTACCATTGAAGATACCACAGCTGCTCCCTTGGCAAATCTACACGCTTCTGGACCCACCAACCCTCGCAACAACCTACCTCATCGATCAATATGCGAAGAACTGGCACAAGTCGAATCGTCCAATCGTCATTCAATCAAAGTTGATATACCCAGTCTCCAAGTCTCTAATTCCGAAAGGCCAATTATGATGACCCGTGAGAGAATGGCAACTTGACAGCATAAAGTTTGTAGGAACTGCGGAGAAGCAAGAGAAATAGTGGGAATAGATCTGCAGTGCTGCAAATATTCCGGCAATGAGGGCGTTGCGGGGCAGCTAGCCAAGGGAATTTCTACTTGAATATGCCGTTCGCCAGAAACATGGGGCAGTAGTTCGAATACCTCAATGGACCAGCAATCATATAGCCCGTCTTCAATTCGATCTGCGATTTGAAGGGTTTTTTTAAAGTGGCAAATACCTTAGACATTGGGTTAGGTTGCGTGGGTGGTCATCTGAACAATTATTTCATGCACAATGTTGCAAAGGAATCAATAAAAGGGAAAACTTGATTCGGAATTGGCAAGAGCGTATCACATTAAGTCGTGTAATCTCTAACGGATCGTGCCGCATGGGTGAGTGAGAAGAAATTACTATTCCCCGAGGATTCTCATGCATCCATGCTGGGTGTCATTCGTCGGCGATAGTAGAGTGACATGCAGTGAGCGAAAATCATCCATAATGCAGCGAGAGTTTTGGCACCACCCACCACGCACCCCGGTCGAACGCCCACGCATCACTAATTTCAGGGAAAAGAAGACGTACTGAATTCTATCATCTCTCAGAAATAGAAAATCCGAATTCATCGTGCGCAAAGGGTTCATATCGTGATTAGCGAAAGCGGGGCGCTATTATAATAGATGACAGACTACAAACCATTTCTACATCAACTCTCGACTAGGCTTTCTTCACTTCAATATTTATTGATATTTTCTGTATGGTTACACTCAATCTTCATGTATTGTAACCACGATATCTATGCAGGGTTCAATTAGACTCGATTCCTCAACTGGGACATCCAGGGTATAAAATCATCCGATAAGCAATCACCCATATTACCCTTCCCGAGTGTTTTTGTGCTGTACTCTCTCAGATCAACATTTAGCACCTAAAAGGAATCTTCAGGGCTGTATGGGTAATCTTTGTTGAAAACAGTAAGCCTCACTTTTTACGGATCACCCGGAATCACATAATTGGTTCCAACTTATTTGATAAGGAAAAGATCCTCGGAGACGTTTTCCGTTAAAAGAATGTGTTGATCTCTATTGATTAGGCTGCAGGATTAGTTCCGTGGGGTTACGCGAATCGAGATTCAGTGGAAACCCTTGAAACTTATGTATCGTCACACTCATAATATAGAAATAATTCACCGATGGGAGAAGTTGTACTCGTCTATCCTCACACTTGAATTTCAAGGCTGAAATCACTCACCTTGATATCTAAGGGCTTGTTCTACAGTCTGGGAATCAAAAGCTTTGACTTCCTGAGTATTATCAGAGCATCAATCATCTAAAAACGTTGAGTTACCTCCTGACATTCAAGGGTCTTGATAGCTCAACATTTGAATGTTTAGCATTATCATTAGAGCACAGATTCGTCCCAATTACGAGACTAGTGACTACCATAACTACGCTCGTCTAGTACGGCAGAGTTTGAAGATTACTTGGGATGTAACACAACCGTTAGAATTCACAGTTATACATTCTTTCATTGAGAGATTCTATCGCCAACATGTAATGAACATCTTATTTTATCTTATACTGGCTCCAGATTACTACCTGAATAAGGACACAGCCTGATCACCAGCAAGGTCTGCATTTTTCACAGATTAGTACTCATCATGCTGCGTGACGACTGGACAAATCAGTCACAAAAGAAGTTTTCAATTCGTTAGATCGTGCAACTTATTCTTGAGATCCCTCTATTTCCATCAGATCTGGGCGATTATCAATTCCATAATTTAAGCTGACTCAAATCGACTAAAATAACTGTACACAACACTTCCACAAACATCAGGGTCTTGCTTTGAAGTTGGTATAATAATGTGTATGTAGATGAGCTACACTGTTGTTTCGCATAGGCTTAGAAGCTCATATATATCATGAGCTGTAAGCAGAACTGTCTGGCTCTTATCTGCTCATTGATATTTTATCACTCCAAGAGTTGCAACCTCTAAAGAAAAGCCTACGATGTTCTCATTCAAATGTTCGGCAGAGTGAACTGAGCGAGCATGGATTACTAGAACAAGGCTTTAGTTTTAGTAACCTTTACCATTTGTTGGCAATGTAAGCTATCTCCCTCCACTGCAAAATACTTTTCTATCTCAGTTATTTTGATCAAAGCTTGATCTAGTAAAATTACTTTGCTACTAGGTCTTCCGCCGATAGAATTGTTGTGAGACTGTAAGTTGCGGCTCGGGCCGCTAGCTTATGCATTAGTGTGATGGGTCTGAACCACTGTGGGGTATATTTAGAGCATATTGAGAGGAGAAATTTCGTAATTAGACGTTTTGAACTAATAAATGGTAATCGATAAGCTCATCTGAGTTTGGATGTTGAATATCCTCATCATCCGGACTCCATAACATTCAATCCACAAAAATTCTAGAATGGCATTCTCGCGGCATAATTCTTGAACCTCTGGAGCCAAAGAGTGATATGGAGATTTGTTTTAACATTGTATTCCTCAACCTCTTTCGACTTGATTAAAGGCTCTGCCACAGGAGAATATCAACAACTAAAGCAACAACCTTGGCATTTCCGGCCGGCGTGTTTGTCGCTTTGACGATGCGATGATATGCAGCCTTAGTTCAATGTTTTATCACTTCGTATACAAGATAAAAGCGGCGGAAATATGGAACAATGCATGAGCTTGTGACGTCTCTCTATGCACCATGTCAGCTGCATAGTGGTTGTTTACATCCGAGAAACGTGGGACATCACGACTCGGTTTCGTCTAAGTTTGAGCCTCAACATCGGGATTCTAGAAGGACTAGATGACCCCACGGCATCGGATCGATCGGGCCACAAGACCAATAGCAACAAGCAGATGAGCGGGCCGAGCCTTTATCGATGGTGTCTTTTTAATCAGTAAGCACTATGTCCTCAAGTGGTCGTAGTATGGGCTGCAGAAATTCGAGCTGTACGCCAATAAAGTTGTTGTGAATGTTAATCTAATCAATCTGTCGTGTCAACATATATACGTGTCGCAGAAACTTTGGTATGAATAAGACACAAGACGCGTCGAGATACACGATATACGGGTTTCCAGCTACCTGGTACCAATTAGCTGCCAGGATATCGATTACGCGTGATAATCAGTTTCGTCCGTCTCGCAATGTTGACAAGCGACTATGGAATTGAGTATGTCTCTGGACCTACTGAAGATTTCCTACTTAGAGCAAGCTTTGTTTTATAGATACCCCGAGGCTTTAGATGTGACGATGTAAATAGTCATCGGTAAAGCGATTTGAAGTGGACAGAAAAACTATGTTCTAGTCTGCCTATTGACGACAGACAGTCTTCGCCCCCTGAAATCAACCCCGTAGTAGATTGAGTAAGCAGCTCATCTCTTCAAGTTTCCGGACGTCTTCATTGCGCGTTTGACAAAGGCTGGCTAGACTTCTCACACACTCGTATGGAAAGTTCCACTGCGAAGAAAACGATATCGTGGTTATCGCAGACATGTGAATTAGGCATCAAAATGCTCATGGTACCAGAATATTACCCTGATTGCAATATGCTCAAGGGACTAGACTGGCAACCAATTGAACCATGGCGATATCTGCAGTCGAGTAGGAGAATGCTAGGCTGAATCGCCATAAAACTCAGAATGTTTTGCGTGCAGAAATTCAAAGGGTGGGATGGAATAGTTTGGATTGCGCCCCCATCCTGCGATGATCATTCGATTCGCGACTTGTGGTGTCGAATTGGAATCTTTTGTTCTCCGCGCGTAGGTGTGGCTGTTATGCGGTGATGAAGGTGATGAAGCCACAACTATGTGATAGAACAGGCTTCAATGGCTTCAAAAACTTATTTCTTCTTCAATTAACCACGTCCAAGAGATTCAGGTATTCTTTAAATGGAGAATACAGACCTCGGTGCGCTGATGTGATAAGGGCGGCGATAAGCAAGAGTGTTTGGCCCCTGGTCAGCTTACCACTCCCACCTTCTAAAAAATCCTTCAACTGCCTATTACAGGTAAACTCCCCGAATCCATCACATTATGTTTTTATACATGACACATAATATTCATTAAAACCACGATTGCTCGAGGTTAAATCTCAAAAGTGTAGTGGTAGAGGGAGCGACGAGAGAAGTCTATCCTGCATCGAACTTGCTGCAAGGCCACGACTGCATCCAGACCACACGAGATCTTCAAACACAATGAATAACTGTTATATGTCATCATGAAACTCCTTCAGAATCTATTAATGGTTACAGAATTGCGCAATATTGTGCTGCGCCACCATTATTAAGTTTGAAACTCCTATTTCTGATTGTAGCTATTTATCGCTCGCAGCCCCCATTGATCCTAATCGGAATACATGGAATGGCATCCTTCGGGGCAGATTACTCTTCAGTGGAAGCTTCATATAGATTTGTATAGGAATTTCTTCATGTCTGTCATCAAATCTTGACTCTGTGCCACACGAGCTGTCAGCAGCGTGGATTATACCCCGCCTCAGCTATTTCCCAAGATGCGAAATGAGTGATTTCGTAAGATTCTGTCCATCTGAGTTCCTATCATCACTTTCCTTGGGAGCTTAAGGTGAGAGTGGTCGCACAAAGAAGTATTATCCACCGACCTTGTCCTTACGTTTTTTCCCTTTTGACCAACGATTTTACGAAATTTTGATGCAGTCAGATTCTTAATGATTGATGATAGATACTTGAGTTGGGAAA